TACCGCACGAATCACATTTTTATGAGAAATTTACAATACGGAATAATAACGATAAATCGAAAGTCGATCTCGGGAAAGGAATTTTACCGCACGAGTCACATTTTTATGAGAAATTTACAATACGGAATAATAACGATAAATCGAAAGTCGATCTCGGGAAAGGAATTTTACCGCATGAGTCACATTTTTATGAGAAATTTACAATACGTAATAATAACGATAAACCCATGGAAAGTCCGATGAAAACGCTGACATAAACCGCAGCCTAAGTTCAATAATAAAGTTAAACGCAATTGTCACCGCCTCCCGACTGGCATTACAACAATATAAGTAAAGCTGATTGTATTGTTTTCATGCAAAGACACTTTACTCCTATCGGGAAAACCTTGTAGCGTTTGGCGGTGAGTCACGTAGTTGTAGCCGGGAGTCGGGAAGTTACAGATGCGTTAAACTTTATTAGTAAACGCACTGTAATACACAGCTACATGTAATTTGAACCGCGTAACTTTCGAAAAAAAGAAACATGGCGTTACCTGTTCGGCGAAGTATAATGGTTTATTATTTTAACAAGTGATAATTTCGTAAACGAACTCAAAACAAAAGACTTCTTGTCTACATTAACCTGCAGAAGGACCGAATGTGAGAAAATTCCTTTCCTGTTCAAGACACAAAACATGGTTTGTGGAAAGGTTAGTACGGAGATATTCCACACAACTATGATGTCGCTATCATGTGTACAGCTGATGTATGGTCAGTCATTTAATCTCCACACCAAACTCTAACGTCAATAATTAATTTTACTCACAAGCTACAAACTGAGTAGGAAAAAAAAATGTTTATAAATTTGTGAAAAATTCTAAATTATCGAAACTGAATCAGCATATGAGATTTGATGTTATCAAGGTGTTACAAATTAGGATTGTAATCTTCATGGTTATGACGTCATGTAAAATGGTACCGCCTACAAGTCTACGCAGCGAATTATCAGAATACCAACCCACCATGATTTGCATTATCGTTATCATTAACTATGCAAGACTTTTCCGCTTTAAAGTCTAGTGGTAATTATGTCCCACCTGCTTTTACAATCAATAATTCTTCATTTCGCCTTTATGGGTTTCGTATGATTCTCACTGCAACCAGAGATCATTTCCTTAAACAGCATTAACAAGCTATGTAATGCTTAAGAGTTGTGTTTTCTTTGAGGTGCGTGCCGAATTTTTAGATGTTATTTACGGGAGCTGATACAGCACTTATCAACTTTATCATATTACCTGATAAGCCTTGAATAGTTTTGACGAAGGCTTTAAAATATATCTAATGACATTTTAAGGTTCTTCATGATACTTAAATAAAACCGTGAAAACGCGTATAGTGAAAGCGCGTATAACGAATCATTTTTCAGATTTAATATATAATGTTTGGTGCATGTATTTCACAGACAGGCTTGAATCAAAGGATACAAAAATAAATTTCATAATATAAAGTTATTAAACATAATCCGAACTGGGCCCAATACAATTCCTTTATCCTGCTACAAACACAGAAAATTAAAATAGAAAGTAAATACAATGGACTTCAAAATTTTCTACACCACAAAAGTGTAATTTAAATTATTTATTTCATTTACATTTCATAAACTATATGTTTTATTTATTGTATCTTATAGAAACACAAATTGTAAAATATAAATTAATAAGAGTGTTATCAACACTTGACATCTCTGCAGGTCGGATAGCATTAAATCAGATCCAGCCATGATATTTCTAAATGATACGTTTGCTCCCAGTACGAGAGACACTCACATCCCAGCGTAAACCGGACAATTAACAACTCTTTATTCACTCCCCTTCTGTCCAACTCCCTTATTCCTGTTCTTATCTCTTTCCTCGGTACAAGAGTCCATACTTCGCATTTCCACAAATATCTGTCACGATTCTGTCTTTACTGACTTCTGTAACCACAAAAAAAATTAAAATTCGTCGAATTTTTAACAGGCTTTTAAACGGATAAGAACAATTATTTCCTTGATTTATTATCCTCGTAAATATACCACCTCATCACTTATTCAAAAATATAATTTAACCTCCTAAATCATAGTGGTAACTATATTTACCATCTACATCAACAATCTACGTATAATTATGTGGTTTTTTCCACAAAGTATTTGTCGGTTACGTAAGAGTAAACATCGATTATATCCTTGAGAGCGTTAACTGATTTGATTTATGTAACGTTGAAGTGTTGTTTTCTTTGCGGTAGGGATTGAATTCTTAAATATTACTCAGACGAGGTTAGACTTCAATGGGTTATATCTATTAAGAATTACGAATTTCCGGAAACGATACTACTAATATTAATTTGTATATAATAATAATCTCAGGTGTTTTATGTGTCTTATCTTAACTGAAGGCTGTTCGTTAACTGATAGAATATTTTTGTCTACAACAGGTATAACAGAAGGTTGGAAAATATTATTTAATACGTAACTTCATAATTATTTTTTTAATGTTAATTTTTGTAATGTACTGTGGGACTATACGATAATTATTTCTAAGATGATGTCTGATATTATAATTTATTGCCCTGTGTAGGCAAAGGCCTTACGATTAACTTTGACACTAGCCAAGAAACCCCAACAGAATATCTAAACAGATCTGCTATTTCAGAAATAATTTTGAATTGGAAGACCTAATCCGATGTTCGTATAATAGGCTTTGATTAGTGTAAAGGTACACTGTCATTAAATAATTTAATAAATAATTAAATTAAACAAATAAACATCATACGATACCATTCACAGAATCATCGGAGGAAAAATTTATACCACGAAATTACAGACGTAATAATATTTTATTATTGTTTGACTGCCAGTTAAAAGGTGCAAATTATCCATAGAAAATGTCTACCAAAGCATTCAGTTTTAACTTGGGAGAAATGGCTTCGCAGGCAAGACAGAAATAGTATGTAAACTCTTGAAAGTGTGTGTATGAACTGCTTGTGGAGTTGTGGATAGGGGAATAGAGGGGTAGGAGGTAGGGAGGGGGAACAGTTCAGCTGAACCCAAACACGACAGGCCACGCTACACAAAACACCGTTGCTATGGGCAACACTTTCAAAACACACGAACGCTGGAACATTCTACCTAATGTACATCCAGACGAATCCAGTGTCTACCACGACATATTTTATAACCTGGAACTGTATTTTTTCCACACCTCATTAACACGCATAAATATTTACAGTTTATCGTAAAACAGCAACAAACAATTCGCTTTAAGTTAATATTTTTTCAAAATATCTCAAGTTTTCTCTGTATTTATTATAGTTCTATGCATAAAACAGTACACCCATATGTTGAAGGGATTAAACAGGCTCAGCAGAGAATGCAATGGTAAGTCTTGGAGTTTCGTAAGAAATCACGGGATATATTGACCAACTAATTATAAACCCCCCTCAAGATCCTCTCACTCTGTCACGTCCAATTTCTGACAATGTTTTAAACACTGTTCATTCTGCAAAAGTGGTCTATATGGCTGTATAAACATGTACAAGCATACCTCGGAAATATTGCGGGTTCGGTTCCAGACCACCGCAATAAAGCGAGTCACACGAATTTTTTGGTTTCCCAGTGCATATAAAAGTTATGTTTACACTATTAAGTGTGCAATAGCATTATGTCTAAAAAAACAATGCGAAAATTACCAAAATGTGACACAGAGACACGAAGTGAGCACATGCTTTTGGAAAAATGGCGCCGATAGACTTGTTCGACGCAGGGTTGCCACACACCTTCAATTTGTAAAAAAACGCAATACACTTGTTACCTCGGAAATATTTACTACACTTTTATGTTCTTAGTTATCGATGGACAATCACCTCTTGGTGATATGAGTCATCGCCCTGATGATGGAGGCAGCAAGGACCTCTGAAGCACCAATAAACTTCTACCAGACTACACGTCGTAACAACCCAGAAGACAGCAATCTTCAGGCATCTCTTACTTAACAGGAAACCAGACTAATTTTTACCAATCTCGTTGTATCTCGCTTGTTCCGACGCCAATAAAGTTGAGCTGCACTGAATAAGCAATTTTTCCCCCAGAAAATGATTCCACGAGAACTACGTGTCCCGCCGATCTGAACATTCTTAATTTGAACATCTAAATAATATTGTATGAATGTAGCGTACAAATTATTAACCTACGCTTTGTTCTGTTTCATCCATTTTTCTCGAACAAATGTAACACCAATACAAAACAGAAGGTAAAAGTATATTTAATAGTTTCGTTTTTACGTTCAAAATACGAGATTACTATAAAATTTATTCTGAACAAAATGATATTAAGCATTTCTAGAATACATTCTGCTCTCTTAACTTCTTCGTTAATATAATTTTGGGAATTTTACTGACTTTCCCCCCAAAAAAAATTTTACTCTTATCTCATATTCAAATAATTTTTAAATTAGCTGTTTTATATTAATATTCTATCGTGGTGTAAATATGGCACATTAAGAACCAAATAAATTAATAAATAACCATTTTACTGTATATCTTTCACACAATTTAGTAATACTAGGCTCCAGAATTATCCTTACAAACCATCCTGTTCTATATCAAGCGTGAAGTATTGAACACAAGCCTACTTTTTTTTTCCAATAATATTCAAACATTTATTTCCTTTTGCTTGGACACTTGAATATAGCCAAAAAGAGACAACCGAAATACATTTTGTTTTTATAGCCTTCATGTTTCCGGTCCATGGCGTTCAGCCGTGCCAATTAGGATTACATGATTGATAGAAGTATAATCATTCATCACAAACAGTGGATAAATAATTTGGAGTACGGAGAAATACAAATCACGGTCTACACCTTAAAAAGCGTATACATAACCCATATATTTTAAATTTTAGAGGGTAGGAAAGGCACTTAAACCAGGTTAATTAATATTTCAGGTAAATTTCAACGAATGAAAATTTAACAAACAAGAGAATGTATAATATATAATATAATTTGATAAAGTGTGTTGTAATGGCAGAAGATGCAATAGGAAGGTTTTGATAAAATCCTAGAACGACTTTATATTACTCCTACCATTTTCTGATACTTCGTTCAAATTTAAGGATGTTTTCAATCTATTATTTATGAAACTGGATTCATTCCATATATATTAAACCGAAAACACCGATTTTGTTTAGGATTTGAGGTTTGGTGAGTCAGAAGATGGCTGTCTTCTGGGTTGTTGTGTCGTGTAGTCTAGTAGAAGTTTACCAAAGTTTCAGAGATCATTGCTGCCTCCATCATCAGGGCGATGATTGAGGTAGCAAGGACCACTTCAGCGATTCTGTTCCCAACACTGATAATTAGTCGGTCATGACTTGCGTTGTTCAAATATCGACTCGGAAATCAGCCTATTTTCCCATAATGTCTCATATAAAATTCTAAAACAGAGCCTTAGAACATGAAACAATAATTTTGTTTTTAATATTATTTTAATTTCGTCATTAGCAATCATTTTACGATTAAACGTTATATAACACTATGCATTGGAACAGCGTTGTTCAAAAAGCAAGACAGTCCTCTGAACGCATACAATAAATATGTTGTACATGGAATACTATTTATGTATTGTATAAAGTAAGTAATTTTGTAAAAACTTTTTAATTTTAAAAATGTTATATTTTAGAAAGTTTGTACGATCTAAGTCAAACGTTTATAATGTGGTATAAAGAATATGTAATATGTATTGGAGATAAACAAAGTACCTAATAAGGAATACTGTTTTAATAAATCAAGATTGTCCGTGGAATTATAAGCCACTTTAAACTGAAAAACACCATTTTAATGATGTTAAACGCCTTATTTGGAAAAATAAAAAGAAATAGAATTTTTCTGAATCACGACATTCTCTATGACACTACTACCCAATTAAATATCTTCTTTATGAGAAATCTCCCCGTTAACCACAATCAAAATATAACAAATCTGAACTGGGCAAACATTACTGTACATCAGCATGATTTAGCCAAATTTTCTAGTGTAATCTTATTTTCCAACACAGAGGTATTCCATATTAATATCGTATTCCATATATGACTTTCTCAACTACAGTTTGGTGAGACGAGATACTTCAGTAAGTAAAGAAAAGATCAAACTTTTATTCAAAGCAGGGATGGGACCTTTCTCTTCAACACAATTTCTTTGCCCGACATAACTCCTTATCCAACGGACACAGCGAGATGTTTCACCGTCATTAAAGCGGGCCGGAATGTGAAATTTCCTACGAACTTTCATTACGTCCAAGAAATTTAAGACGTCAAATGTTTCTCCCATATCCCTGTACATCTTCATGGCGTCGTCTTTTGGCACAGGGTAAACTACCTTTAACGTTTCCTTAATTCAGAAAAAAAATATTTAAAATAATTACGGCTTTCTGAAGAGCTGGGAGGGACATCTTCAGGACGAATATCATAAAATGCAGACTTGCTAGTTCAGAATTTATTATTCTGTTATGGAAAATACAAGACAGCTGTCATCCTCATAATTAAGGTTCGCCGGTCGTGTGTAAACTCAAAATGAGTGTTCAAAATCGGTTTATTTGTCTATGTCCTATTGACTAAATCTGTCATCTGTCCAGGTATATAGCAGAATACAAGTAGTAAGCTTCACGCTTTGCCCCAACAGCTGTTCGCTAGGAGGAGAAAAAATCCTGTAATCACATGGTTGGACAGTTATCAGAGCTGATCTGGACGTAATGACGAGAGAAAAGTGAAATATATTTAAGATTACCGACTTCTATCCAGCATTCAGCCTGTAACTTTATTAAGTTACAGATTTATTTAGAAGAAAAAAAATTACGTGACTTACATTTTATATACCCACTCATAACATCTTGGCCAGGAATCGAGATACGTGTTTGTAAATGTCTACAAAAAAAAGGTCTACATATTTTATGAATGAGCTTTTTTTACTCACGTGTGACTACGTTTAAAACTTTTTAACACTGGTCATTACTGCGGTAATAGGAAAGTAGACAATCACATCCGGTTCTATTCTTCTAGTTCCAACCCATAGCCTGCCCTCCGCTTAGTTTGCCTTCGTCCTTTCGTATACTTTATGACGATATCATCGCTGTTAATGTTAGGTACCATCATCGACGTCATCGAACATTTTCTTTTATATAAACACTGTCTTCTTAAGTACACTTTCTGGAGAAAGTGTACTTACAGCTTGTAACTTAAGAGGACTTTACAATATTCAACATACTTCACGTCTTGTTACATTTACATGGTATCAGACAACCTTTTGAGAAGAATACATTTGTAGTAAAATATACTTTAAACGCACGAATAAAAATGCAAATGTGTGGATCTCAACACAGGTACAAACCAAGAAAAATACATGATGAGCTATTGTTAATGACCGATAATATTTAAATTAATAATAACTAATAATATTCCTCTATTTAAGCTCCGTCCATATTATCTCGGGAATGTAACCCCCCCCCCCCCCCAGTAACTGTTCTGTAAGAATACATCAAACAACAGGAATATTTTAGATATGGTGACGCAGAGATAAATTTCCCTCCCAGAATATAAAACTTACCGTCATACCCCTGAGAAAGTAATTGGTTAACTTTCTAGCAAGTATGCATTCGGACAAAAGGCTTTAATTTTTACGTTTCAACCCAAAATTATACCTTATCACATAACTAGACACAACTATGAGAATTATTCCAACAAGGCGTGAGCAGCTAGTGCATTATGAAAATGTATTCTGCAGTATCTTTACAAAACATCCCTCGTATCCATCATCAGACCTGAATACAAAGGACACTGGACAGGAAAATGGGTGGTTAGAAGGATCAAACCTTGGGGGGGGGGGGGGGGGGAAAAAGAGAAGGGGAGAAATTGGTTATGACTACAAAATTGCTAGTAACTTGCACAATGGAAATATGACAGTCTAAAAGCCAACTTCTAAATGAATGACATTTGTGTTTCTGCCCCTGTCTTCGTATGTTTTCAAGGATTAGACCCTGTGGTCTCTTCTAGTCCACAGTTGATTCTGCAATAATAAATCATTTAAATATTACGTAGTACCCTCTTAGACAAATGGACCGAACCGTCTACCTACTTTGGGAAACACAGCTGACGAAAATACTAACATACGTCTTTAAAATTCGCTTTGACATTGACATAGAATGGTGTAATACCCATCGAATTCTGTGCACGTCAGTTTTCAGTGAAAATTTGTGGTCTCCTATGGCTTGAAACCCAGATACAACATCTTTGATAACTAAACAGTTCATAACGAAGTTAAGAATTCGCTACCTACCTAATTATATGACGTTGCTGTATCCTCATGTAGATACTAAGTATCTTAAACGAATGATATTGACGACAAAACAGTCATAAAATAAACATTGCTATGACCTATTTGAATCTTTCAATGTTACGAACGAGTATTCTCTCTTAGAAACACAAACTTTTCTTCTGAATTTATTTGGTTCTTGTAATCAGTTTAATAAACGTGTTTAACACATCAAACGAAGTTACAAACAACCATTCTCGACTATTAAATATTAAAAACATACTAACACACGAATGTTTAAATACTATAAATGAGTTGGATTAAACTGGCTCAGCATAGGATTTTCCAGCGGGTTCTTGCAAACACGGTAATGATTCGGGGTTCAAAATACGGGGGACCAGCTGATTGTCTCTCTTCGGGGTTCCCCGTAACTTCGGTCCCGGATTTCACCTTCGCTTGCCTGGACACCCCTGGGCTTCTCCCATAACAGGTAAGAACTTCCAGGCCTCGGGAAGATCAGGAATGTCCCAAAGGGGTTTTACCACCACGAGGAAAGGCCACATCTGGAGAATATACCCCCTAGACACCGCCAGCTCCCAGCTGGGAATTTGTCTACTCGGGTTTCTAGCCCTCTGCGTTTTCTGTTCCGCGGGCTTTGCCCGATGGGCCTAAACGGCAGTGGGATTTCGCTGTTAAGGGTTATACGGCCTGGGGTTGGCAAACTCCCACCCCTTGATTCCTCCAGGGACTTCGCCCACGGGACATGTTTCCTGTGCCATTCACATCCGGGCTTAAACACCCCTGTGTTTCCGCCAACCTTATCGCAAACCTGCAAATCGAGGTCATTGTTAGGGCACAATATTGCAACAAAGACTTCGGTTTACATTATAACAATGATATTGAATATCACCGTTGCAATTTTTTTACCGTTTTTAATTATTATACGAGGTGCGATCGGAAAGTTTCAAGACTGCGCCTATAAAAACCCGTACACTTATCTCAGGTATTAAATTCATCCATCACCCTCGAAGTAGTTCCCCTGGGAGTGAACACAAAGATCCCAGCGCCGCTGCCAAGCCTGGAAGCATCCCTGGAAATCTTTCTTTGTCAGCCTGTCAAGCACCATCTGCGATTCTGCCTGAATCTCTTCTATCGTCTCAAATCTCCTTCCCTTTAGCTGAATTTTCAACTTTGGGAAGAGGAAGAAGTCACACAG